TTTTTTTTTTTTTTTTTTTTTTTTTTTTTTTTTAAGTATACCTCTTTTATTTATTTATTTTTTTAAATCTTAAAAGATCTATAATTTTGTTTATTCTTTAAAATTTTAATTTTACATTTCTAACTTTTAATTTACTACTTTTTTTACACACTTCCTTCATTCTCTTTTCTAGTTTTCACATGCATCATTTTGTCTTCCTCTAATTCATCACCTATTTCAGTGGGTAGTTTTAGTTTTCTCGATTTTTATATTACTCTCTTATTTTTTCACCTCTTTCACTTTTTTACATGCACTAAAATCATAGAACTGGTAGGTGATAACATTGTAGGTACGTGTAGCTTCCTTGACAGTTTCTATCAAACTAAATACACATTTTTTCTTCCAACACTTTTTTTCCTTTCATCCTTCTAAAAACCTTAACATTAAATTTAGTATTATGAAAAAGACATCTTCACTATTGTAGAATACTATACGGATAGTAAAATAAGTGAGAAAACTGAAAGAGAAAGAGAAAAAAATAATGTAAAACTAAAAAAATTAAAATTACCTATCAAAATAGGTGGGAATGAAGAAAAATTAAGAGGGTGCATGTGAAAATAAGGGAAAAAAGTATGTAAAAAAATGTTAAATTAAATATTAGAAATGTAAAATTAAAAAATTAAAAATATTTTAAGAATTTAATTATTTTTTAAGAAAAAAGGAGTGTACTTATAGAAAAAGGAGGTGTATATACCATGATACAATTTGTTTCGACATTCACGGCACAAAGCCGCAAAACCCAAAATCGTCTACTGTCTTAGTCCTGGGCTTTTACTTTTTCGCCATCACAGAATTGGAAGTACGCGCCGGCCCCCTTTTATTGGGCCTTTTGTGACCATTATTTTAATGGACTATTGACAAAAACAAAATGTAGCCCCAAAATAGAAAAAATATATGAAAAAAAAGACTTAATTTTAGTTTATATAAATTGAATAATTTTTAATTTTAGTCTTTATAAAAATATTTATCTAGTTTTCATTCCTAAAAAATCAAAATAACTATTTTTTTTTTATTGTGATACACATAACTGTTTATGTGTTTAATATAATGTCAACTGGTCATCTTATATTATTAGACATTTACTGATATCAATGGTTATATAGCATGTGATGTTTTTTACTTTTTAAATTCTTAAAACAATTTTATTTATTTTTCTTAAAATAAAGGTTAGGGACAAATAATTATTTTAGATCTTAGATTGATGGAAATTTTTTATAAAAAAATATTTTTATAGGGATAAGACGAAAATTGTCTCATTTTAAAATGACTAAAATTATAGATTTCAAAATTTAAAAAGGATGAAGATTAAATAAGTTTCTTAAGAATCAAAATAAAAATTCACTTATTTTATAGAAACTGAAAATATATTTAAGTTGAGAGGAAATTACTATTATGAAGTTAAATTAAACATAATGACAGTTGTATTTGATGACGAATTCCGTATTCTCTCGTTCTAAAAAAAAAAATCAGTGCTATGCTTAAGTGAAAATGTAAATATATATATATATATATATATATATATATATATTTATTTATTTATTTATTTATTTCAAAACGATACATTTATCCATTTGAACAACCATTGAAAGAGTTTGATGTGTTAAGCAAGTTGATCTAAGATAGACGTGTTAATGTAAGTGGATCATTGCAAAATGCTGGACATTATGAAAGACAACTGTACAAATTGACACAAAAATTATGGGGTCAGTTTTTATATGCATGTCTATTCAAATCTCCGGTGAATGTTTTCTAACAGTAACAAATAGCATATATGATATATCCAAACAAATACAAACTAAATTTTTATAATTTTTTTGCATACCAAAAACTTGGCACAAATAAGACTGCCTCTAACAATATTTCCCTAAAATCTTTCTCACTCTTCCTCTTCCCCCCATAAAATAAAATAAAATAAATTTGATCGTATTTGCTCAACCATGACATACTGGACTAAAGTGTACAAAATAAACAACAAAAGAAAGTCATATGATAAGTTACAAAAATAAAGAAGCAACCTCTGATCTAATGCTTATTAATTACTTCACTCCTACGACAAGAATATAGAAAAGAAAACTCAAACTGAACCTACATTTAATTCTCACAAATAATCCTCCAAAGATATGTCTGAGGGTACATCATATCCGAAAACCATAGAGTAATCATCCAATTCATCTGAAGTGAACTTTGGGATCCTCCAGCTCTTTCCAGCTTCACTCTCTTGCCCACTGGCTAGCAGCTCTAAAACCTGTTTAAAACCAAAAACAAGTGTGAGTGTTGTTGTTGAGACTGAGAGAAACTTTAAAAATGGCCATTATTGTTCATTCACCTCGCTCATTGGGGGACGCCACGTGGCAGTTTGTCTCACACAGTATGAAGCCGTTAGCACTACCCTATACAGTTGCTCTTCATCATATTTACCTTCCATTCTTGGATCAGCTAGCTCACCAATATTCCCTGATTCCATCAGAGGCTTTGCCTATATATATGTTACAAAATCATGTCAATGTCTTGCTAAACCAATTTTTGCATACAACATGTAATTGTGGATGAATTTAAGTTTATACTCTTCTAGTCTTCCTAAATTGTTAATTGTTAATCATCAACGCTTGTGAATTGAGACCCTCCTTATAAAATATATATAATGGGATGAGAGGCATGATTACCCATAGGAGAAGGTTTTGCTTTGAGGAATCAACAGGTCTCCGTCCAGTTACAATCTCCAAAAGTAGAATTCCAAATGCAAAAATATCTGTTTTCTCATCCACGATTCCATGCATAAAGTACTCTGGTGCTAAGTATCCAAATGTGCCCTCTACGGGGATCACAGCATGGTGAGTCCACTTGTTAGGAAGCCACTTTGCAAGCCCGAAATCGGTAATCTAAAATAGAGAGGTTCAAAAATTAAAAGTGTAAGTTGATTAAATTGAATCACGTGGAAACAGTATTGATTTTCTGGTATTTGATTACACTATTGTATTTGTACCTGTGGTTCATAATCAGGACCCAGAAGCACATTAGAGGCTTTGATGTCACGATGAATTATTCGGTGTTTGCAACATTTATGAAGATAATGGAGACCCCTTGCAACACCAATGGCAATTTTGTATCTGATTGGCCAGTCAAGTGAATCTCCTCCTTTACCTGATAATGGTTCCATTGCAGTTAATCTCAAATGACATAACAGTACTCGCAGAAAAAAAATAAAAATAAAATAAAATTAGGAATTGGAATACGAGGCTTCCTCACCATGCAATGCAGTTGCCAAATTTCCATTTTGAGAGTAATTGAAAACCAGATATAGCCCATTTTCAATGCAGCATCCCACTAAAGTTGCAGTATTAGGATGACAGACATGTCCAATAACACCCAACTCCATAAGGAACTCCTTTTCTTTGTTAGGATCCTTGTTGTCCTTGGTCAACCTCTTCACTGCAATGGTTCGTCCATCTGAAAGATCACCTTTGTATACTTCTGAGTACCCTCCTCGTCCTACCAAATTATCTTTTGTTTACAAAAAAGGAAAAAGGAAAAAGAAATTAGGACTATTATTATAATGCTTCAACTTAAAATAGCTTTAAGAGCGCACACCAAAAAAAAAAAAAAAAGACAATTAAATATAAATTCTTAAGTGTTTATAGTATTGTTCTCGTCTCACAATTAGACTTTCAACTCAGCAGTTCATAATATAACTAAAGTTTGCATTAAAAGTCCACACAAATTAGTGAGGTTAAAGTTTTGATTAGAAAATAGTACTAAGTACTAACTAAAAATATATTAGAAAATGTATGCAAGTTCTGTCCCAAAAGTTACATACCTTGGTGGAAGTCGTTGGTAGCATTGGTTATCTGTTCATAGCTGAAGCACTTCAATAAAGGCTGTCGCTTTTCATTTTTGGATATATTAAAACCTTTCCTTCTAAATGGTGAAGCAAGGAATGAGACTATGAACCTGAATGGGAACTGGTGTTTTCTTATCTTGGATCCGCTCTTAATCTTAGAATCTGATGATGGGGTATACGTGGTGCTGGAGACCCTAGTGCTAAAGGTATCATCTTCTGTGCTGTTCGATTGTCCCTCTAGAGAATCTAGTACCGTTCTTGGTGAACGGTTCAGTGCCTTGGTTCCTGAGATATAATCCTCCAGAACAGGGGAGGTACCCTTGTCACAATGCTTATCCTTCTTAAACCATCTTGAACTTGGTCGTTTATTATCTGCTAGCGAAAAGATTCAAGGTATCCTATTTAAGGGACTCGTTATCCATTGTAATTTGTATTTTGTTACATTATTTCTGAGAACTGAATTACCTTGAAAACGTGTTGAGTTTGAGTTGGCACTTTGATCTGCCTTTGTACGTCTCCCAACTGAGACCATCGTACAACCTTCATGTGCATGCTCAAAACAATGCTTGGTAATCCCTTTAGAAGTTCCAATCCTAAGAAAAAAGATAAACCAAGTTATCGTGCACGATCTTCATAAAGAAAACTGAAAACTGTTATTATTTATTACATGACTTAGTTCATACTTATTTGTTCGGTTCCTTGAACCACGAATAAGAAGAAAGTCAGCATTGATGGACTTGGCTTCCTCCACTAAACCTTCACCAACTGTCGAATTGAGTGCCACCCTGGCCTCCAAATTAACCTGATAATGATGTTTTCATGAGCATGTTGGAGCCTAAACACTATATAAGAATATAACATATTTTCCATTTTTATAAGATAAGGACATTTAAAATCATATAGAATTGATCTAATAGTGAGAAATTGGAGTAGTAATAATATGTACAAGGTACTATGTGCGAACCTTATTTTGTTCATTCTAATTCCTACTGATAAAAAATAGATATGGTATATTGATCCTGGTGAATTACCTGCTTAGACCAACAGGTCTGTGCAAATTCTCCAAGCACAGATATAACATATGCTTTTGCCTGCCTAAGTTGTGATTGCCTTCTTCTGACTGAGACACGCTTCTTCTTACTCTCAGCAACTATAATTTTAAAAAAATAAATGCTATTACAGCATTAAACGTTCACAATATGAACCGATAGATGGTTTGATCCATGTCAAATTGTCAATCATTAATGTTAGAATCTTAAGTTCAGTGATTTAATGAACAAGTGACAATGCAGGTAGTAACTAATAAAAGGCTGAATGAGATGCAAATTTTGAATTTCGTGACTAACCAAGAACATGCACGGCCACGATGGAGTCATTTGGATTGGCTAGAACTCTTATTGCCCATGAGAGAAGCTCCTTGCTGTCATCTGGATCTAAGGAGAGGCCAACTAGTATTTTGGCAGGGGAGGGAAGTACCATTTTCAAATGAAAAATTGTGAGTGAGAGTGCAGAGAAATGGAATGAATTATTTGCTCTGCTTGTTCTTGTCACCCACGGATGAATGCTTAAGAATAAGTAGTGTAAGGTAGTGCATGATTAAATTCAGTTAGGGGTGTGAGGCCAACGGCCAACCTCTCATGTCCAAATTCTATTATACTTGTTGGAGAAGCATAAAAAGCCTTTAAGAGTGGCAATAGGAAATCTGATTAGTCTCTATTTCTCTCTCTGCTCACAATTAAGTGTTGTAGTTGGGTGCTTTGGGGTATAAGCAAAGGTGGTGGGCACGTATTTGATTTATCTTGCTATGTAAGCCAAAAATGAACCTCCCCTTCAAATTTAGTAAACAAAGTACCTTTTCTTCTTTTCTTTTTCACTTCCATTTGGTAGGAAAGCCTATTGACCTATTTGCCACTCTCCAAAAAAAAGAGCTTCACTCATCACTTTAACATCAATGAAACTTTGAGAGGACACTAACTAACTGTCTTCTCTTTTCTCATGGATGAGGTGGCTACATTTCCGTATAACCGTTTCTCCTATTTCGCTATCAAACTTTCTGTTCTGAGGTTGCCACATAGCCTTCATTATTTTTCTCATGCACAACTATCACATAAAGTACCTTGTTATGTAGAAATAATACAACCAATTGTAGCAATAGCAGGATGACATAAAATATATACATGCTTTTCCTTTTACATAGGTGAAGTAAATCTCTAATAATATTCTCATTAACTTAGACAAATATAGAATTTAAAATTTTAAAACAGATGGCTTTCTAGTGTGCTACGAAAGAATGCATTCCTTTTTTATAATTTTCTCCCTTCCAAGGAAGATAAGGTCATTCACTCCACATCCAATTATTACTATTTCTGAATAAATCGCCTCTTCTAAAATAAGCATGTGCGACTTTCACTTCAAGATTCGTTAAATAATAATAATGCCCATTTTACAACTCAGATGTATAAAAAAGAACTTGGAACATGTGATGCTATTTGTCTAGGATAATCGAGGTTGCTACCTAAACAAAAAATAGAAGTGGACTTTACATTGTAGAAGTCACACTATTTATATATGAATCAATAAATAGGATTCACACCATATATATACGACCTTGAAATTAAATGTGGCATATAGATTTCCGATATTTGTTGCTCGATTTTTTGAAGCGACACCACAATGTACTACCCAAACATGAAAAGAAATTTGTAACGAAGTTCATTTTGGATGATTTGACAAAACTTTATAGTCTAAGCTAAAATGACAGAAATTGAGGTAACATCCAAAAATGTTGCATAAGACATGGCAACAGATTGCCATACCTAACGGTGGAGGTGAGGGATTTGGATTAGGGAACTGCTGAGACATGGATAATCCATCTTTCGAACCCCACACACCGGAAATTAACAACAATTTCACCTTACTTTTGCACTTTATGTGGTTTACTTTTTGGGAAAAAAACAAAGAAAAATTGGAATGATATGAGGAATGCCTTAATTTCAAGCAAAAAGATATACACGGTTCAAGTTCGTTAACACATCTTAATTGCAAAAATCAAACTATAGTTCAACCGTACCATTGTTATTCTGACTCTGACTCGAATTATCAGGACATTAGTTGGAATTATGGGTGAATTTATAATTGCAAAGTACTACAAAGAAAAACTTCATTGTTAGAGTCATTTTAAGCTGTTATAAATAAAGAACAAATGATTGTACAAGTTTGAACTTTGAACTGAACTCAACAGATTTTACGATAATTTTGTCACTACCGATGCATGTCACAATTTACTAGTTTGTCGTCATTTTTGTATTAAATAAAATTCATTAAAGCTGATTTAATCCCCACGTAACAAAGGCACTTTGTTTTATTTTCTGCATAAAATGAAGGCAAATAAAGATGTAGCTTTAAGTCTGTTGTAATAGTAACACACAACAAATCAGTCCTTGTATTATAAAATTGACTTTTGACCTTTACAAACTTTATGGCCACATATCTTCTCGTTTTATAACATGTGTCATATTAGTTTTTTGTTAAAATTTATCGATTACTTAGTTTTCTCAGCATGAACAATTAAATAGAATTTAATACATGGAGTAGAACATTAAAATAACAAGATAAGGTTCACGGAATCACGGTAGCTTCTTGAAGTTATTTTGTTCAAGTTTCCCCGTGTCTTTTTCAATACTCTTGTTATTTAGTGTGTGTTTGCTTTCACTTTTTGTCAACTTGGACGTGATTTGGAGAAACAACTATTAGTTACTTTTGGTGCGTTATGACATGAAAATATTAGAAAACGTGGATCACAAACATAGTACCAAACAAACACTTAGTTGAATGACTTTGAATGTTCTGAAATAACTTTATTTCTAGGACAGTGTTCTTCTCTCATATTATTTGTCCCAACGTTAATGAGTAAATATGATAATAATGTGTTGTGATCCATTTGTCAAAAACATATTTACAGAAAAAGAGAAGAAGAAAAAGACTTAACCTTCTATGAGTAGTCACAATGGCTCGGCTCTCCCTTTCATGGAGAGTTATGACTATTCAAGTCATATCTTTTCATGAAAAATCACAACCATTCAACACGTATCCTTTTACAAAGAGATGTAATGGTTCCAACCATCAAGTTTCTATTCAATTATAGGATATGCTATTTAAGTAAACTGATTATGTGACGTCTATAATTCATTGATCACATTATGAATATTTCAAGAGACATCAAGATATCCATCAACAAATGTTTTAATAAATAAAAAGGAAGATTAATTCAAAAATAATTTTTTGACATTTAAATTTAATTAAATCATTATTTTCATATTTATTGAGTATATTTATCCTTATATAATTATATTTATAATAAATAAATATTTTTAATTTATTATAATATATTTAAAATTTATATATATAAAAGAGACTCATGTGAGATCACTTGATTAATATGAGAAATGAGAATTATAAATATTGAATTTTATAATAAAATTAATTGAATAAGGCATTATGTGATAAGAATTTAACACATCCTTTTTTCTCTTCAATTATTTGGTATTTTGGGGTAAGTAATGGACAAGTTGAAAAAAAGTTTATTTTTGTCCTTACTAAATATAATTTTTTATTCAAGGCATTTAGTTAACTTGATCAAAACTAAAAAAAAAATGAAATAAAACCATATTGACATTTTTTTAGTGTAATATATCAACTTCAACGATATGTATAATTAAATTATAAAGTAAAAGAAATATAAAACTTAAATTAAAGTATATTTTATAATATAGTTTTTAAATAAATAATCATTATAAATATGGTATAATATTTATAAAATGTATCTATTAAATATTATGTTTACTATATATTAATAAACAATTATTTAAAAAAAACACATTTAAAAAATACAAGACACTGAAATAGGTTAAAATGATCCAAAAACATAACTGTAACCCAATTTTAAAATACATTAAACCTAGTTTCAAAATCGAAACATATAAAAATCAACCACTAATAGAGTCGAGTCGAGTTAACGAGACACAGTGAGTTATACTTATCTCTACCAAACTGTTGGAAACCAATTTGATGGAAGATTATGTAAAAGAACTAAATAAGAGTTAGCCTTAAAAGAATAAGATGAAATGAATAGTCATTACGGGAATATTGTAGTTTGGAAGTTGACTAAATTAGCAATAGATAAAAAGGCTTCACAAAACAAATAAGTTCATTACATGTATATTAATATCTTTAAGCTTTAGCCTATTTTCTTGTTATCACTGCGCTTGTATGGATCCTTCATCTTCTGGACTTCAATGGCACTAAAGACACCATAGCTAGCACTTGCATCATCATCATCATCATCACTAGGTTGATCAAGTGCCAATAGTTCTTCATTATATTTGATACTATCTATCCTCATGGTCGTGACTTTCTCATCAGATTCATACCCTTTGAGAAGGTTAACCACTTGCTTCATATTTGGTCGCTTCTCAGGCTCACTTTGCACACAAAGAGCAGCCACATTGATTGCTTGTTTCACTTGATTTTCATCAAAGTTCCCTCTGAGTTTTGGATCAACAAGATCCCTGAACTTTCCTATGCTTATTAAGGGCTCGGCCCACTCAGTTATTGTTCTCTTAAGCCCACCAGGGAGCTTCTCTATGGGCTTTCTACCGGTTACCAGCTCCAACAGAAGAATTCCAAAGCTATACACATCACAACTTTCGGAGACCTTTCCCCACATGGCATATTCAGGGGCCAAGTATCCCAATGTACCCTTCACACGAGTAGTCATGTGGCTAACTCCTTCTGGGATTAGCTTTGCAAAACCAAAATCCGCAACTAGAGGCTCAAACTCTGAATTCAGAAGCACATTACTTGCTTTTATGTCCCTATGGATGATGTGGGGTGTCACCTCACGGTGCAAGTACCTATACCAACAACATCCAATATATCAAAATTTGAACACAGGCATGGTTAAATTTTATTTACTAAGTACCATACAAGCTACTAGTATTGTTTATGCTATTAGATGTAGCGTAGGACTTGAAAAGCAAAGGGACTTTTTTAAATCATAAGCTCATATATGTGTAAATGTTTCATTGATATATGTGTAAATGTTCTGAATTTATACCAATAGTATGGTGTATCATAGCAATAGATAATTTCATTGATATTGTAATTCAAATGAATGTTCAAAGATGGGGAAAGTAAGTTGTAGAATGAGTGTGGTGGAAGCTTACAGAAGGCCCTCTGCAGAGCCAATTGCAATCTTCATTCTCCTTTGCCAATTTAGTTGCACATCAACAGCAAACTGGCCATGGAGATGAGAAAGCAGGCTGAGATTTGGCATGTAATCATACACTATGAGCCGTTGATCATCCCCAACACAATAGCCCCTAAGACCTAGCAAGTTTTTGTGCCTAACCCTTCCAAGAACCTCAACTTCTACTGCAAATTCCATCTCTGCCTTAGAGTTCATTGCCTTCAGTTTCTTCACTGCTATCTGCCATTAAAAGGTAACCATATATATAAGACTAATGGGAAAGAGACTGAATTTTGCACTAGGATTCCTATTTTTACCTGAAGACCATCATTGGTTCTTCCCCAATAGACACTTCCAAAACCACCTTCACCAAGCTTGTTATCATCACTGAATCCGTTGGTAGCCGCATGCAACTCCTTGTATGTAAATATTCTCCATGAATTGTTAATTACGCCAAATGATGTTGGCCTATACAAAATTACATGCACAATTTTGATGATCATGCGAACAACTACTATTATGAGAGCTAATAATTAGTTTGCATATATAACGTTGAAAATCAGAAAATAGAAGTGGAGAAAGGTATTTTACATACAGTTCTTCGACCCTATCTGAGCCACAGCAACTGATGGAGGTTCCCATAACTGGCACAATGTTAATTAGGAGAAGACGTGCTCAACTTAAGGAGCTTGTCTCCGAATGAAATTTTGTCTTTTAAAGTACTAAAGTCGTTTAGTTTGGTCCTCTCATATCCTACTAGTAAATGCCGGCCGAACGACTTTGGCCGGCTAACTCAACTTTTCATTTCCTTTAACAGCTATATAAAGAGGGTTGGATTGGAATATATAAATATATATATAGAGAGAGAGAGAGGGAGAGAGGGGGAGGGAGAAAGAGGAGAAATTTATTTACTCTAAAAGGAAGTCTACTTGAATTTATTTCACTTGATAACACATGTTTTATATCAAATTTTAACGATCCAACTATTAAATTAAAAATTTTGAATGTGTAGATCAAGTTTAAATTTTTTTTAAAAATTTAAAAATCATATGATACTTCGTTATATAGATTTGAATCAACATATAAAATATTTTTATGATTATTTATTAATTTAAATTAATAAAACAAAATATCAAATAATTTTAAATTTTTAAAAATTTATAAACTTAATATATACATTAAAAACTTTTAATTCAATAGTTAGATTGTTAAAATTTGATATAAAATATAAATTATTTAGTATAATAAATTTATCAAACTTACTCTTAGAATAAGTTAATCTCTCTTCTTTTATATATATATATATATAAATCTCATTCAAGTTAGATAGAATTATTATAAGTGATAATACTCTATTTATAAATATTTAACTATATTATATATATATTTAGAACATAAATTTGAAACTACTTGTTAAATTGAAATAATTTTGTATCGGATTCACGTGCCTATGGTCCAACATGTATAATAATAATAGGTACTTTTTAAAATCATAGATATATAAATATAGGTGTAATTGCAACTTAAGATAATATGCCCTTAAGATTCCCTCTTTAGCTGTTGTCCTCGAATTGGTCGAGAGTATTATCGTCTACAAGGAGCTAATCACACCACACTGTTTTTTATTTTGTTATTTTAAAAAAAATCTCTTTTTTTTTTTAATTTTTAGAAATGAATTAAAAATTATGCATGTATACGTTGGTTTGATGATACATGTTACATATACATAAGTAAAGTAAACAAAAAGATATTGATCTATTTGTGTTTGATTTGGAACACTTCTGTGAGGCCACTTGAGATATATATACTAATGGGTACAATTGTAAACTTGTTATTTTAAGATCAAACTTTTTTGATTTTTTATTCTTCAATTGGGAATTTTCATATGTACAATTATGAGATCAACTCTTGGATTTAAGATGCTAGTTGTGTAAATTATGTAAAGTTTTCTCAAATGGCAATTTCAAGATTCAGATTCTTGATGTTAAATGAGTTAGCTTACAGTCATAGTTCACTCTCATTATGAATTTATGATAAACTACTGTTTAGTATTTTAAAATGGCACTTGATGTGTGTATTAAGTATTTTATTTTAAACTAGCTAGATGTTAACCCGGGCAAGACATTTTATAATAAATTTTTTATAAGAACTTCGGATTTTCTTATAATAAGTATGAATTTAATTACAGATTCATTTATTTATTTTTGCTGAGACTTCAGATCTTTTCTTATACTTGGACCGAATTATAAACACAATAATTTTAAAAAGCTTCTGCAAACATTTTTCCAAATCAAGTTTAATTGCCATGAAAGGTTGGCGCAGAAGAAAATTAAAGAGGAAAGGAATACAATGTTTAGATTTACAAATTGTCCAATTAAGCGCACCGCAATAAACAAAATGGTAGAGTTTCATTTGCTGATATTTTATTCACTATGTAAAACACTATTTACTATTCTGTTTTAAATATTACCTTCCTTTCGATTCCATGTCTTATTATTGGAACGTGAACTTCGTTTGTTTTTTATTTGAAATCTTAAAATATTTTTGTTAGATAGTGTTTCACTCAACATACATGATGGGTATCATTACACTTGTCATAGAAAAGTTAGAATCAATTGCAAAATCAACTTTTTTCAATATATTCTATATTAGATGTAATGACATCTGACATATTATGAGTCTAAAACAAGTGAAATAACATTTGATATAAAAAATTTTATCATATAAAATCTTTGTCATAAAAAGTTCTTTTTTTGCACAAGTTAATGACATCATATTTACGGTGAAGTCCTACAAGAAGTCAAGAGAAGTGAGTCAAACTTAAAGAAAGAATGATTAAACTCTTATTGAATTTTTTGTTATTTTAGTAACTTACTTTCTCTTATTTATTAATATTTTTCTTATAAATATTTTCCTTATTTTAACCTTGTATTTTTAGTTAAATAGTGTAATTTCTTGTCATTAGTATTTTAGAAGGACGTAACTAGAAAGAAATAAAAATTTAAATTTATTAGATTTAAATGGTCTATATGGGCATCTCATTGGACACATGGTCCAATGAGCTAGTCATCCATTTGCTTGGGACAAGCAAGTTAGATGTCACTTTCATAGTAGAGAGAAGATGTCTCATGACCCATTCAAGACTCTAACAAACTCTAACAAATACGTGACTTTGTCTAGTCACACCAAACATGTAATTAAAGTTAATTATTTTAAGTTCAAGCTGATTTACCTTAATAACACTCGACTAAAATTAGTCTAATTTGAACCATAAGTTAATCAAACTCTATATATATATATACCTTCCATGTTGTTCGTCACTTTTTAGCATTTTATGATAATTAACATTAATTTTTTTCTTCCAAAAGTCTAGCTTTCTCTCTCGGAGGAATTATCTCCTTATGAATTTTTATCAAATAGTTCTTCCTTATAACAAGTTTTTCACCTTTTTTGTTTATCTTCTCTAAGAAGTGGCACAACCCATATTCCTTCTTCCTCTACCCTTTTCAAGTTTTGAAGCATATAAGTCTATGGAAGAAGATTACAAGCACAATAAAACTAGTTGAAGAGAATCATTAGCTATCTCTCCAATAGTTCTCATCACTAATATTTCTAGGAAGTGTATTGTTGTTAAAAGTAAAGATATTTGACCTCGAGTTCCTTCTTGCCAGATGTTGAAGAAAAAAAAAGTCTCGTTTTAACATGCCAATTGGACTAATAGCAAGTTCTTATTGATCTTGAGTTTTGAAATTTTCAACTTGAAATTGTATGCAGCACAAAGTTAAAATATTAGTCAACTTCACCCATGTATCCAAAATACTAAATGTCATTCAAACTTGATATGGTTGCATTTGTATGTTTTTGCATTTTATAGGATTAATTTAAATCTTTTACATATTTGCGGAGAAGATTTTCTTTCATATCTCTGTCGTTGAATTTCAAAATTTGCAAAATGATACAAGTCATCCCTTTCCAAATTCTAAACGACATTCTAAAAGTTTAAGGGCTTAAAGTAATCGTTGAATTCAAAATATTCAACTATAAGTAGATAGAAAATGGTGATCAACATGTCTATGTTAGTTAGCTGAATAGGAAATGTGAGTATTAATTGTAAATTATCTTGATATCGACTTTGAAATTAGAAAAAAAAAATGACAAGAATAACCTGCCATCTTTTATTTGCCAAATAAAGAAAGCGTTTTTTTGCTCACAAAGCCCATTTCTGCAACCGATTGATTCTGAAACTGAAGTAAATGAAAATATTTAAGTTCATCATATTAAAAGGGGCCTAAAATCTTGTCAAGCACCATAATATTTCTGGATCCCAGAAAATAATCACTATGACATTTATTATTCAAGAAAGTTAACAACTTTTTAATTTTTAGTACACTTTATTATTAGTGAATTTATGTAGATTATTATACAGTATTGTGTTACTATAAAAATCAAGAGATATTTGTGTAAGATAAAGAGAGAGAGAAAAGAATGTTGAATGAAATTTTGTTAAAAGTCAAGAAATGTGAGTATAATTTGTCCAATATATTTTATAAGATAATAATAATAATAATAATTATTATTATTATTATAATCTATAGACCATATATATTAGACTATTGTTTTAAAAGAAGTTTTTGAATAAAATAACAACGACAATCAAGCCTTTTTCTTTGTAGGTAGGATCAATTATGTTTCTAAATGAAAAAGAAATGAAAAAACAAAAATATATTTTTGTCATTACTTTTGGACTGATTTTTTTTTTTTAAGTTATTAACATTGATGACTTGCTTCATTCACTAATTTTTCGAACTATACATTGTCAATGTAAAGTTTTTTTACACTGACAATCAATTATATCCTTTAATTGTGTCATGTCATTATAAATAAATTTACTTTTAACCGTGACATGACACAATTAAATGATATAATTGATTATTAGTGTAAAAAAAATTTTACACCAGCAGTATATAGATGATCAAGTCAATTTTTTACTTAACTGTTTGATTTGATCCAGTTTTATCATCGAAGGTTACCAACATTTTTTAAATTATTTTGGACAAGATTAATTGAAAATAGGCTTCCCTCTGCTGCTTCTTTGGGTTGAGCCCATGTTTTAGTGTCAACTCTGTGATTTAGTCAGACCATCCAAATGGGCCATTTTGATTTTGGATAAAAATTGGGTTTTAAGGTTAATCTGGTTTGTATATTGGTATAAAATAATACATGTTCAATATTTTTACATATATTTCTTGCTTAGTTTATTGGGTAACTGGGCCGTGGAAAAAGAAGAGTGCGGCTATGGGTCTTCATACTTGTGGAGTCTTAGTCGTATTGGTAACATAGTGTCATTATTATACCTATGTCTGGGTTTCATTTCACTAAGCATGCTATATGAGTTTGACCTCAAGGATTAAATTTACATATAGGTTAAAAACCTCTTTTCGTCTCTGATAATATTTTTTTGTTTCAATTTAGTCTCACTTTAATTTTAGGTCTCAATTTAGTTTCTAACAATTTAAATTATTGTAATTTGGGACTTCCGTCCAAATGATTTAAACGGGGTTAACTCCTGCTGACGTGGATGTCAGGTGGATGCCATGTAGATGCATAGGTGGATGCCAAATGTCATGAATATACCTGTAACCAGAACGGTCCGTTTTGAAACTAGAACGGCCCGTTCTGCATGCACATGTTATGTGTTAATTTTGCAACTGGAACGGGCCGTTCCAAATGCACATTTAACACAACATGAGTGCAGCAGAACGGGCCGTTCTGAAACCAGAACGGGCAGTTCT